GGAAAATGAATAACTAAATGTGATCCCCAAATTGTATATGAGTTGCAAGAAAGGAATTCATTAGAAAAAAATGACTCACTCACTGAAATCCCATGGCTTGGAAAGTAATGACACTATTTAATATAAGGCATAATGCTCCATGATATTTAACAATAATTGTTTACTTGAGATCAAGTTATCTTTAGACAAAAATATATTTGACCAAATATAAATGGTACTTTATCTCAATTTATATCATGTTCTCTAAAATGTTGTCATGCTTCATTAAAGTACATTAGTCTTTGTTCTCTGGAGTCCCTTAGTTATTTAGTACTGGAATCTCATAATTGTTTGTCTAGGGTTTCTGGTTCAAGAATCTTAAATGTGTTTTGTTAAAAAACCTCATGTTACTTTAAGTTAAACATGAGTACTATATAAAGGCAACTTTAGTCTATTTATACTATTGGAAGAGTAAAAGGGCACTGGGTTATTCCAGGTTCTAGTTAAATCCAAATCATTTATAACTAGTTATCATTTATTTTCAATTTATATTTCACCTATTTGCCAAAGGACAGTTTGAGTCCTCTTTCAAAATGAACCACATATTAAATAGGACAAGTAAGAATAAAAACAGAACAGAGCCCATTGCAAACGAGCAGAGGGAGTTGGTATTGTGCAAGGCCCCTGATGTGAGCTCATTATCTTCTCATGGTGTGGTAGAGAGAGTGCTGGAAGTCAAGGTTGAAATCAGGAACCCTCGGTTCCAGTTCTGGTCCCTTCCCTAATTGTATGAATCTTACAGGTGTTGTTAGCAGACCTGAGTTAGCAGACTTCCTGGTGCCTAGAAGGGTTTGGTGGGGACTAAGAAGTTTGCAAGGGTGGACGCTATACCTTTTGGGGATGATAACAAGTTAACTTGTGACTAACTCAGAGGAAGAGTTGACTCAGGGATGGAAAAATGTGGACTGAGCAATGACACAAAATGGAGCAGCAGTACAGAACAGTCAATTACAGAATTGAATCAATTGTTAAATGACACAGAATAATTTTAATTTTCTCAGTGGCCAAACAATTATCTAGGGCAAGGGTTCTTACTTCTTTTTGAATCATGGACTCCTTTGGCAGTCTGGGGAACCGTAGGACCCTGACTCAGAATGATGTTTTTAAATACATAAAATAAACAATATTGTCCGGGAAGCCAACTATATGGAGATACAGTTATACAAATATTTCTAAAAAAGTTCCTGGATGTCAGGTAAAGATCCTCTGAGTTAGGGTGTCCAAATGAATGTCAGATAGTTCTGATGCCATCAATCTCCTTAGGAGTCTGAGAGAGGCATCCTTTCTTCCGTTCTATGCCTCAGCGTCTGTCATGTCTCATTCCCCTTTCTTCATGGTCAGACATTCTTCACAACCTAAAAAGCACAACTGCTTATTTTCTTGTGCAGTGGGGCAAGGAGGCTTTTAACATAACCCTAATGTAAGTTGATTCTTTTTTTTCCTTTGTCAAGTTCCTCTACTTTGTGTAATTCCAGATCAGAGACAGACAAGCGTTTTCACAAAGAGCATGCATTCTCTCTATCATTACATCATGTCATTTGTAATTAAATTAAGCTGTATTGCTTTAAAAAGATAGAATACTTCCCAAACCCACCAATGGAGGGGAGTTTTGATACCCAATAAATTGTTATGTGTTATTATTGTGGGTCTTACATCCCTCTTTAAAGTTCAGGGTCATTGATTAAGTAAATAAAATGTAAAACAAGTTAAAATCTAACATTGCATTTCTCAAGAAGTTCACTGAATCAAGGAGAAGTCTTTGTTTTTAATTCATGGGTTGTGTTACTTTAATAATACAGAACAATGGGAGAGACCATTATATTCCCTTGATAAGCTACCAGATTTTCAATTCATATTCTAGTGGCTCAGTTTGTGTGCTAATTTGTGTTCAGTACATTTTTTCTTATTACATTCCAGTGCATTCATTTCAAACTCTCAATAGTAGATACAATCCAATGACTAGGTATCTAGGTTTTTGTCTTCCATTCCTCTGAAAACCAGATCTATCATAGTTGCCATGAGTGGGGCTTGATGGAAGAGAGAGTTGGGGGGATTGAGAAGAAAAGGAGACACAACTCAGCATAACACAAGAGACCTGGCACAGAGAGGAAGACAGAGCTATTTGGGTTGGGCAGAGATTTCTCGGGGACAAATCACCAAATTAATTAGGATCCAGATTGTGAGCAGCCTCTTCACAAATCCTTGTACAAGCATACCTTGGAGATATGTGGGTTCATTTCCAGACCATTGCAGTAAAGTGAATATCACAATAAAGCAAGTCACATGAATTATTTTGGTTTCCCAGTTCTCATAAAAGTTATGTTTATATTATACTATAATCTATTAAGTGTGCAATGGTACTATGTATAAACATTGTACATACCTTAATTAAAAATACTTTATTGCTAAAAAGTTCTAACCATCATCGGAGCCCTCAGTGAGTTGTAATCTTTTTGCTGGTG